ATGATTATCTACCATATGACGAAACAATTGGACCCACAGTTTCTAACCTTACTCTGCCCATTTAAATTCAAGATAGTGGATGTGTCACATTGAAGATTAATGGCGTTTCGGCATCTTTGTAGAGACAGCAATCATTTAATGTTTCAGTTATTTTGGTGTTAAGAGCGTGTTTCGCGCTGTTTGGGCAACAGAAGTCATCAACACAGTGTTGTTTACAGTCATTCCATCCAGGGTAAGTTGGGACATATTGGTAAACTCACAAATACAATATGCAGAATAACAGGCCAACATGACGTATGTCCTATTTCATCACTGATTACGTCTGTAGGTTACATATCGTACGCCAATAGCCTATCGAACATGCTTACCACCCTCGTGAATGCACAGGTATATACTGGCACACCTAGATCTAAAGTAGGCCGTCTTTAATCATAGGATTCTTGCACCGCTAAGGGATGCAACCCTGGACAGCGAATCATAGTGCCATAGACGATTATTTAACACCTGCCTCCCGGGAATAACATGCGAATCCAGCACAAGTCAATGATGGGTCTGCAGTATAGCTGTTTGAAGGTTTTACAGGAAGCCTTGCTACAATACTGACAGCGAATTGAAACAACACTTCCCAGTCGTACCGTGGTTAGTCGGACGCTGAAGGGTAATCACAGGTGAACGAAACGGGCTTCACACATTGTGAATGTGGTGAATCGAACCTGGGTCTTCGGCGTGACGAGCAAACGCATTAACCACTAGGCTACCCCACCGTCCCTCAAGTACTTATGGTTGATGTACAAAGATGTATATATCACTCACAAAGATTGCAACAGGTATACATGCTTGTACATGAGTATCTCGAGCCATGCACCCCAACACGATTGACGACAGTCGCCTTCAGGAATACGTCACAAGAGCGCTCTTCTGCTTTTCCGCGCTTAAGAATCGCTTGTGACCCTTGTGCGAATAAAGTTTAAATATAAAGCACATACAACTTAATGGATGACAACTTCTTGTTCATTACATAGAGCGACCTTTCGGTGTAGATTCCTTCACCGTTATCAAGCCACTTCTAGCTTGATAACGGTGTAGGAATCTACTGACTGACTGACTGAGTTTGGTTTTACGCCGCTTTTAGCAATATTCCAGCAATATCACGGCGGGGACACCAGAAATGGGCTTCACTCATTGTACCCATGTGGGGATTCGAACCCGGGTCTTCGGCGTGACGAGCCAACGCTTTAACCACTAGACTACCCCACCGCCCCGTAGGAATCTACACCGAAAGGTCGCTCTATGTAATAAACAAGAAGTTGTCATCCATAAAGTTGTATGCTTCATTATTGAATCACCAACTTCTAGAATGCCGATCAAAAAAAAAGTTAAAATAGTCGTAACATAATGTAACAGGGATACTCTAGTCAGATATAGTATACTGATTTCGAAATCCCGAACGGCAGGCAGGGTAACAACAAATACCTTCATTTAACGTCCTTTGGTAAGGTGCTCCTCCGTTATCAATACATGAGTGAATCAGTGGTGGTTTAGGTCGTATCTAAAACAAATATGTACATCATCAGTTCATATAGAGAGAATGGGCGAACACAGTGAATAGTTGGTGGATGGTGCTTTGCCGCAAGTCATATCACGATCCAAGATATTCAGAAATACAGAATGCTGGTGTGTGATTGTTGCCATGCAAGGCTAACTTTAGAATTGTCTCCCTTTGCCGATGGAGGATCTGATGATGTTTGACTCGAATCCTACATTCGCCAGGAGTAGGATTGTTTTTCAAGTTGCCAACCCCAAACCATCTCGTGGGTTTCGCCAAAGTTGTACACATCAGAGACACGAGACACGTCCCCCAATACCAAGTCTGCAAGGAAGTGGTATCACTGAAACAGTAACATTTGAGCCAACAGAGGTAGCAGCGTTACTCAACCATACTTGTAGGCAGTACCCGAATTAGTATGCTTATACTGTGACCCCGATGTATAATACAAAATGGCGGCCAGGATAAGGAGTAGCATTGAAGTCCTGATAGTGTAATGTTATAACAGGCAACTAGGGGATAACACGCGTTGTACTGCTTGACAAAGCTGACATTGTACCGTCCCTGTTTAATGCAAGCAAAGCTGTCAGATAGTTCGTAATGACGCGCAGAACATCAAATCGATGCAACACAGTCACTAAAGTTTCATTATGCTTTTATTATTTATGTATGAAATGAAAAGAAATATCGGAATACATTTGCACAATCATAACCTGGTTAGCTGTATTAATAATAACGATTATATATATATGGTAAACGTCAGAGACACGTGAGAATTCGGCCGTCACAGGTCTGACACATTTAAATTGGTCAACATCGGTCCACCAGTCAAATTGTCAAAAGAGGTTTAACCACCTCATGCAACACCAGCAGTGTCTGTAAGTGTGAACATAGCAAGTACCTAAGTCTTTGTCTATACTATACATATGGGCCACCGGCATTATATACGTACACGGATCATATACGCCATATTCCCCTGGGACAAATAGATGGATTAAATACGCTCTAGTCCCATATTTAGTTAGTGTCAGGGGTATTTCTGTTTTGGCGAGTGCTACACAATAAGTGCCGAACCTAACACCACGCAGAACCATGGTTAATAACCACAGACCGGCAAGACTGCGGTTAGCGCATCTGTCCTCCAGGGTTACATCTATATGTTAGCGGGGATGATGATCCGGATGTGGTCAATACCAATATCAATTGTGCAAACATTGGCTCTGCCTCATATTGCGTCTGTTGGGATCAGCTGCAGCCTGGGCAACGTGGCCGGCAACAGTCTGGGTCACGACGTTGACTACTCGGCATCATGAGACCCTGTTTTATCTACAGCTATAGCGATGTCTCATAACCATGGTCGTTGTTTGTCGTTTAAATCCCCGCTACCCAATTACGATCAAAGCCGTTCTGTGACGTATAGACAAAATCTCCTGAGTCTTCAAAGGGGGAATTAATGGTTCGTCGTGGAAGTATGGCTGTCTTGTGTGACGACATTACCGTTGTCAAAGTAGAGAATTACTCAAGTCGTGCAACACCGCCAACTGTCTGTGCACAGGAATGGAACGCGGAGTTTTAGACAATGTATTCGTCTCTTTTGCAGAGTCAAATGATATTTTCTAAAAACAATAATCACCTCAATTCCATTCTCACTTCCCTTGCCAACTCTTGCATCCCATTATCATCTCCAGATCTCATTCTCATCTCTTTCAGATAACACTTTGACAATATTTACACATCTTGCAGTCAATCCGATTCTACAGCCCCCCTTGTTACTGTAGTCTCTCACAGTCCCTGAACCACATTATTTTCCCTTCCAGCCAGCCCTTTCGCCTAGCATGTTTCACAGTCCCTGAACCACTCTAGTTTCCCTTCCAGCCAGCCATTTCGCCTAGTATGTCTTACAGTCCCTGAACCACTCTAGTTTCCCTTCCGGCCAGGCCTTTCGCCTAGTCCGTCTAACAGTCCCTGAACCACTCTAGTTTCCCTTCCAGCCAGCCTTTTCTGCCACTAAATTAGAGAGGCTGGATTTTCAGGTTCAGGATCTGAGCGTTCGCTGGGGCTCATTTTCAATTTATATTAAGTTACTTGTTTTATTCAGAATTAAATGTTTACAGACTAGGCGCTAGTCTATAGTACTTGAATATCAAGACCAAGCCCAACCTAACTCCAAGAATAGCTATTAAATTCCGCTCCCTGTAGTACATCTCTTCAGGCATGAGATTCAATAGCGAAGGCCAAACTATCTCCTTTCGTGGCAAATGGTCAGCAACTCGAACGCATAAACGCAGAACATCCAAAGACATCCCACGAATTTATACAAATTAAATGATATCATAACCAAAATAGAAATCTTATCAATTCACAGGTTTTTATCAATGCTAAGACTCCCAATATATACAAGCCCACCCACAAATATGAGTCCCAAAGAGGTGAAGGTCAGCCAGATGTCTGAAGACAGCTCTTAAAGTAACAACAACATTACTGCGAAAACTACATGCTGGTTGTTTGGTTGTTTGTTTTTCAACGCGGCACCAAGCAATATTCCAGCTATATGGTAGCGGTCTGTAAATAATCGAGTATGGACCAGACAATGCCGTGATCAACATCGTGAGCATCAATCTACGCAATTGGTATACGATGACATGTGTCAGCTAAGTCAGCGAGCCTGACCACCCGATCCCGTTAGTCGACGACAAGCATGGGTTATTGAAGAACAATTGTAACCCGGATCTTCACGGGTGGAAACCTACACGTAATGCAGGTGTTCGATTCAACAGGTGCTGCAATAGCAGGTAGTCGCATAGTTTATTTAGGAGATAAACATCATGTGTTGGGTTTTTTCCGGGTGTTATTGAGTGTATCAAATACTCAATAACACACGGAAATTGGCCAACACATGTTTATCGACATTGTAAACACAAAAGTAAACCAAATGGTCCACACATATTTTTGTGTCTGCACTCATTGACATCGAGTACGGGTACAGCAGTGAAATGTCATCAGCCGGCCGTTTCGGCTGTCTCCCATGGTAGCATCTGGAACTGTTCATTTGTGATGTCATTCGGACTTTACGTCAAAATATGATTTGAATGACGTCGTCACAGCTGACGACGAAACAATACAATGGTGTGAGCGATGTTTGTATGTATATAAAAGCAGCGAATTTCCGGGAATCAAATACCATTTGATCATGTTTTTCAACCAATCAGATTAAAGAACACAGTGACTTTTGGCTTACAATTAGGATACAAACAGCAGGTATGAAATACTTTAGTCTTAACATCCTATGGTGTGGTCGAACAGCGTCAGTCTTGAGATCTGCATTGATGATAATTAACTATATCCCAGGGAGTCGTCCCTCTACTCAGTAGTTTGTGTTCCATATTTACTCTTCCGGTAAAATTACCACCACAGGGAAGTGCACTTATCCATCAGCAGCTGTTGTGGGACACTTTCATGGACTGACCCAGACTCTGGGGGTGACCCTAACCAGCGCCCTGCTGTCGTTGCCGAAGCTGCAGTATTCAGATGGCACCACAAGGCCTCGTTTGGGCAGTAGGATGATGGAGCGTGTTTTGTCTGCCACTGGAACTGTAGAAGGGAGAAACAGAAAATGTGTTAATTGGCATACACATGACACATGACACATAACAGGGCAGGTTTGTGAACATCCAGCGACGACATTGGCCATTTTATGTAGCTCACTCACAGTTTGTCCAGCTGGGACACAGTCTAATTTCATGATAGTATCCATAAATAAAAAGGATCCATGGTCTCATAGATTCTTATTGTCAGTGATCCTTCAGCACCATAAAATGTCTACATGTGCCATGTTGTCATATTAAACTGAAAAACAGTTTAAATCGGCGTTAACCGCAGTAGTGATTAATGTCATGAGCATTGATCTGCGCAATACGAAGATACGATGACCCGCATCAAACGAGCATGCCCACCAGATACCGTCAGTTAACTCCTACAGGTAGCAAGGGCGACTGAAGACCAATTCTAACCTCGATATTGACGTGGGCGTATAAACGTTGTACATTGTTGCTCATAGCACTGTTGGGGGCGGTGGGGTAGCCTAGTGGTTAAAGCGTCCGCTCGTCACGCTGAAGACTCGGGTTCGAATCCCCACATGGGTACAATGTGCGAAGCCCATTTCAGGTGTCCCCCGCCGTGATGTTGCTGGAATATTGCTAAAAGCGGCGTAAAACCAAACTCAGTCAGTCAGTCAGTCATAGCACTGTTTTCCGTTATCTGCACTTTGATACTTACAAATCGATGTGACGAAGCAGGACTATAACTGACGTGGTTGCAATCTCCATTCTTTTCAATGCCCACAGATGCTGTGGTAGCATGGTGGTTAAAGCGTTCGCTCGTCACATCCAAAAGCCCGGGTTCCATTCCCTACATGGGTACAATGCGGCACCTATTTTCCGTGTTCGCCACCGTGGTATTCTAGGAATACAACTAAAAACGGCGTAAAACCTAATTCGACAGAATATGTTTCATCGTTCCTGTGCTCACGCTATCAACCACTTATTTATCTGTCCACACCAAAACACATTCTGTATTTTGACTTTTTCGCAGATATATAAATTAGGAAAAAATGGCATAACTGCCACGTGTACGTCACCTTGACCTTGAATAAGAAGCGGTGCCGTACATTCGTGTAAATCAATGACCTCGACGTCTCAATTGCACAACGAGGGACACAGGCGTGGGGAACATCGGCGTTATCTACTTTAATGCACAAGTGGGCGTGGTAAAACGTGGATTATCTGATGCATAATGAGACTAGCGCCTAGGGTTGCCCAGCATCGTGTAAGTCCCACCGACACGGAGATACGGGTCGTGGAGGGCGTGAGGAGGTAGTGTTGACATACCACGTTCACCTGATACGGATGGAGTGATATAAACAGCCAGTGTACACACAAGGGGGGATATTGTGTAATAACGTCCCAGTAGAGCTGGGCAATGTAACAAGTCTATATAGACACACAAACAGAGATGACGTCATCACGTCACTCGACAAATATGACGTTCTCCTGAACATGAGAGTTGTCCATGCGTATGTTCGTGTAAGTTGTATTAAAACTGCAATATTGATAACAAAAATGCGATTATTGACAATCGAAAAAGACCCCAAACCCGTCAAAGTGTTGTTTATTAATGGTGTATTTGACACATATATACTACCGACACAGATGTGGTAATGAGTCGGGATTCTGCCATAGGGACCCTAAACCCATGAAACCGAGACATTTACAACTACTTAGGGGCACGATTCTGTGTTTCTAGAAATGAAGAGACCCATGGGGCTAGGCTTGTGAGTAAGGTGATCTCTCACCGCACCGTGACAGATTTTGCCAAACACAAAATTGGATGGTACTATAAGGTCAGTTGCATCTTAGATAAGTTTAACATCAAGGAAAGTAATCTTACTTCCTCGTCTGTACTGAAGGACCTCCAATTGAAATTTACAGACATGTTCCACTCATCTGTTCAAGATAAACCAAACACATTAAATACAAGGAACAAACTTAGAACATATAGAAAATTTAAATCTGAAATTAACTTTGAACCATACCTACAACACTGCAAGATAATAAAACACCGCATCCACTTCACAAAACTAAGACTGAGTGATCACAGGCTAAAAATTGAACTGGGTACAAGGCCAAGATCACCTACACCTTTGGAGGACCGTCTCTGTGATAAATGCTCTGTCGTTGAGATTGAAGAACACCATTTCACGTGTTGTACTAAATATTCAGATGCAAGAAAGTCCTTATTTAACTCCCTTTCCTCTAAAATTAATAACTTTCTCAGACTTACTACCACTGAAAAATTTAACCTCCTTTTTACACATGTAATGATACAATAATGTGCCCCTGATCCCAAAGTAGTATAGAAATTATTTGCTACCACATGTACGACTTTAAACAAATATAGAAGATCTGATTGTCCTAGGCCATTATTATTATTATATACATTTGTATTATTATATGTTTTGTTACTCATCATATATATATGATTCATTATATATCTTGTTTATGTAGTTTATAGAATATTGTCACTGTTTCTGTATGGAACGTTTGCACAATAAATCTTTTATCTTATCTTTATCTATCTGAGTTCAATTCACAGCTTTGATACACTGTAGGAAGTTAGGAACCCACGTTTGATTTGCCAATGGTGCAGTCCCTCTTAACACCATTCGTGCATCAGTAGCTCCCCTTGTCAGTGAGCACCTGTTTGTCTGCCGCGGATTGTTTTCAGACAACCGTGAAAGAAATAAAACAAGATTCAGTCCCCAATTCTGTGTAAAATTCACGTGAGTCGCGACCACAGAACAACACCGGAAACAATCCACAAGAAATTCATCTTCATTTTGAATAAAATATTTACAAGAAAAACCGTCGCTTGCATTAAATCATAGCGGTCAAACTGTAAAGTCACGCTAGAACCTGATTAATAATTGACTACAGATCGTGACAGAGCCGACCTAGCTGATCTGTAAACAATGAACATTCATGACGGCCAAGTTAGTATGTTTTAGTCACATATCCCCGACCTTTGGTACTTTGTATTAGCCTGACTGACGGCAATAGCGACTAGCTCCGACTACTGGTTCCGATCGTTACTACACCCCAACACGACCATTGTCTCATAGCAACATGACTGACACGGTTGCAGCTACCATCGTTTTTCGTGACAAAATCTATTAGTTCGTTTGAGAATACAAACCACAGCCTTTGATAACTTCCCGACATTTGAAGTCTCATTCAAACGGGCCTGCAATATCAAACCCTTCATCAGCCTGATGGGCTACACAAAACACACTGGCCCTTCAACAAACTACTTTGTTTCGCTACGATGATTCAGAACTCACATTTCTTTGTACTCTCAAGGGACATTTTTTCACACGTGTGAGTAATGGCATTGCCACGAGTCCAGGCGTTCGTCGCCGTCCATGACGTTGCTCCTTCAACTCATCATGTTGTCCATGTCACCGTGTATCGATCCTTGGTTTTGACGACGGTCCGAGCACCAGTTTGGCCGTCTTGGATCGTCAACGTATGGCCTTCATCAATACGATTCATTGTATTCCTAGACTCTCATTTAAAAAAAAATTGATGTAATTATTTTGATATAAAATATTGATGTGGGTTTTTTTTGTACGCTATCATCCATATTTGTACCTGAATAATTACAGGGAACATTAGATGTGATAATTGACTCGGTACTATTTAATTGTCAGTTAACAATGTAAGGATCTTTTCGATCGCGTGAATCATGCATCATAGCGTCTTTTAAGTATAATCGTTTCTCCAAGATGTGTTCTCCCCAGTATGAACGGCTATACAAGGGAGCAGTGTTCGCCCGTAACCCTGAAATGCTGCAGGCCCTAAGGACCCAGAACCATAACAAGTTGTGGGTCCTGATCAGAACGTGTAGGCCCTATATTTTACCTACAATATAAGTAATTCCCAGCAAACAAAGAAATGCGACAACTAACAAACTGAGTGAAAGATAACTTCTTTGAGTGACATTATTTAGACGTTGGAGAGTAATATACGGACAAACTTTATGGATGAACAACTTCTTTATTCAGGTGATGCGACGTTTCGAGACATAAAGTTTCTCCGTATATGAGTTAAAGAGTTTAATTTAACTCTATAGTGACTGACTAGTCTTCCTTTACAACAAAATCAACATCCATGTCAAGATCCAAGTTTTCTGAAATGTTTGAATCAGAATGTTCAGATAGGGATATGTCAGATCAGTCAAAGTCAAAAGGCTGTCGGTCATAAGGACCTGCAGGAAGCTGTGAGTCCGAGTGGTTTTAGTCGGCTTCGGGTCTAAGGACCGACGTTAATATAACGCTGCCAGGGAAGGTGGCCCAGTGGTTAAAGCCCTAGCTCGTCACAGAGAAAGCCCCGGTTCTATTTTCACATAGATACACCGTGCAGTGAATTCTATTTTTGTGACAGTTAGGATATTGCTTATAAGAAAGACTGTTTAGCGTTTATGGGGGTATAAATGTATTAATAACTGCATGTAGTGTATATACGCAAAGTATGATTTTTCTCTTATACTGACTGACTGACTGAGTTTAGTTTTACGCCGCTTTTAGCAATATTCCAGCAATATCACGGCGGGGGGACACCAGAAATGGGCTTAACACATTGTGCCCATATGGGGAATCGAACCCGGGTCTTCGGCGTGACGAGCCAACGCTTTAACCACTGGGCTACCCCACCGCCCCTTTTTCTTATAACTCCATAGAATATATGTTGAAGTTAGTTCTTATAATTTTAAATTGGGGCGGTGGGGTAGTCTAGTGGTTAAAGCGTTGGCTCGTCACGCCGAAGACCCGGGTTCGAATCCCCACATGGGTACAATTAGTCTGTCTCACAGTCCCTGAACAACATTATTTTCCCTACTGCCTAGCCCTCTCTGCAGTGCTAAAGCCCTAAATAAAGCAAGTCTAGATTTCCTCAGGTCTGAATCTCTGGTCTCCCTAGGGCTCCTTTTCAATATAAATGGGCTTGTTTGTTACTATCCAAATTATATATATTCAGAGA